GCTTTGTTTTCCGATAAACATTAGGCTATACTTTGTATCCGACTTTGTAATATGGTTCAGTTATATATAAATATTCAGTGGCAACAAAAAAAAGTTGTAGTTTCTGTGGAGATATGTAGTTAATTAATGACAACTTAGCTGTAGCAGAATCGCTACTAATTATAACTAGATTATGGCTCGCATGATGCGCGAGTTTTTTTTTTACAATTTTGTTATATTTAATGACAATTTTTTAAAAATCAATCTAAAAATTTTATATTTATAATACTGCTTTTGAATTGAAATGAAATTAATTGTTTCTTTTATTTATTTTTTTTATGAAAATATGAAGTGATGCTCAATCATTTTAATATCGATAGTTCCAATATAAAAATAGATATGTTGATTTGAGACTTTGTTATCTATATATATGGTTTTATATTTAATCTCTTCGCTTTATTATTCAGAATTCTTTTTTATACTTTCAGAAATCAAATATAATATTTTGAATAAATCATAGATTCCAAAATTTTTTCTTATTTTCTACTCTTGTTTAATATCTTTTACCAAAATAAGATATTCTCATTCTCTTTAGACTTTTAATCTCCTAACAGTTATTTGATACTTAATTAGATGCTTCAGTAATTAACATCATTTAACTTTTTTCTATTCTCTCATGTGATTTATATGAATTTTTATTCATTTGTTCTTATATTGATTTAATTTTACATATTTCCAATTTTTGAAATTTAAATAAGTAAACATCTATCTTTATCATAAACTCATAGTGTTTATACTACTCTCAAATGGAATACAATATAAGTGAATATAGTTTTTTATAATTTAATATTTACAACAATAAAATACTTAAATATTCTTGTATATATATGTAGTACTTTTGATTGTTTTTAGTTTAATACAAACTTTAATAGTTATAAGTAACAGTTAATATACAAACATGAATTAAATTGATCATTTAAAATAATTTTATTGTTAAAAAAAAATATTTTTGTCTATGTGGACACCCTAGATGGAGAGAGAACTCTCTAATTATATAATAAACTATATTTTGACCTATGCCCAAATGCATAATAAATAATTAGGTTGACTATTCGATTTTTAACATATATATTTTTAAATATTTAAACGTGTATGACAAATCATATGATTTTCAATATCTACAAACGTACAAAAAGGATACGTATATGTATGATAGTTTAATGTGTAAAAATGATCGAAACATATACAAATGTTATTTATTTCAATATATTTAAGTGTAAATATCTCATTATATCTTAATTAAACTTTATATTTTTTGTTAAGTTTTATAAAAATGATCAAAACATTAAGACTTTTCCATTTTGTTTGCTTAAATTTATTTTGTATTTTGCTTATATTACTTATGTTTTGCATGGAAAAAAAATGATTCCAATTTTATTTCAATTAGAAAATACTGTGAAAATTTAAGTAGAAAAATACATGTCTATATGTTTTGTCACTAAATAAAAATAAACCATGATTTACTGATATGATTAATCATGATCAACTAATATTTTGCTTACATTATATATATATATATATGTCATGATAAAATTTATCAATCTTTTTCTAATCTATCTTTATAGTATGATTATAGTATGATTACTTCTCATTTTATTTTGTCATTTATCTTCGTCTCATGAGTTTATATATATTTTGATTTTTGTTCATCGTAGAGAAATATTTGAGATTTTATGATATAATATTTTAAACGTTGGTCTTTCTAATAAGTTGAAAAAGAAAAGAGTTAAGATCATGTTTTAAGTTAAATGTGTGGTTAAACAAAATGAAGTTAATTGGATATAAAATTTTATTTTTATTGAAGTACAAATCTTTTAATAAGAAATAGACCGTTCATATTTCATGAAATATATAGATCCTAGAAATAGTATAGAGATTATTTTTTTCTTCTAACATTTTAGAAATATGATTACGTCAGCTGATTTTTACTAATTATTTTAATTACAAATCATAAACACATTTTCAGTTTTTTTA